AAATTAATGAATAGAATAAACTAAAAGAATAAAATAATAATATAGAAAAATAATTACCTGGACTGAGGGCTCGAACCCTAGATAATCGGCACAGTGTTCTTGCCACGTGTGGGGTTCGTGGTCAATTGTTTGTCCCCAACACGGCGTTCCATCGACCGGGAGACCAAATAGGACTTGTACGTCCTGCAGCGTTATTGTAGCCTCCCCGAAGTCAAAGTGGAAGGTGTTCGTCCCCGGACGCCACCTCTCCACTAGACATGTAATCAAGCTGTTCTCCGTCGATATTCGCCCCATTCTGAAAAGCGGCCCGAAACCGGTCCTTTCGATCACCTCCCATACTTTGTAATTCTGTACCGCCAACGCCTTTCAAAACTGAGTGTCGAAACGGCGGGTTTTAATCGCGCCGTGACGATATCCCTCCAGATCGTCGTATACAGCTTGCGACCGGTGGTTGTCCTGAAGGTAAAGAAGGGATCGTTCCATCGGACCGGGATGGACGGTGTAGCGCTGCGGCTGTGAGGATGATGCCATTTTCTACAAAAAAAAATAAAAAATCATCACATATAAGAACGCTTAATTTAGAACAAAATAAAAAAAAAATACACGAACCATCACAAAACAGGGCTAACATAATCGAAACTAACCGTTCAAATCATCCAACTACAAGCAATTATGTACAACAATCCATTTGAGGTATTTTATCGAACACCTTCAATTCATACTTTTCCAAACAAACTACAAAACTCAAATAAATTTCAAAATAACCCATCAATTTATCACACAAACATATCAACAATTCATCAACATATCTCAATCATTACAAATTCACAAGTTAAATATCAAAACAAATGAAAAATAGAAAAAAATTGTTAACCCTAACGATTTTTGCTACAAACACACCATCTATATCTCAATTCATCCTTCAAATAGTGAAAATAGACGAAAAATGACAAGAAATGATACCTTGTTGGATGAGTTTGGTGTTGAATCCGGTAGAACTCTTCTGCCCGCTCTCTCTCTCTCTCTTTTTTTTTTTTTTTTGCTTGCTCTCTGTTGCTCTCTGCACTCTGTATGTTCGCGTAGGAGGGGAGAAGAAGAAATTTTTTTTTATTTATATTTACAGGCAAAATGTATTCTCAGAATACGTTTCACGTTGATTTATTTATGAAATGTATTCTGAGAATACGTTTCACTTTGATTTATTTATGAAACGTATTCTGAGAATACGTTTCATAAAAACAAAAAAAAATGGTGGAGGCTCCCAGATTGGGGACTCGAACCATTGTGTCGGTAGACAATTTCCGATTATTTTTAAACAAATTATGTACATATACATAAAATTATACAATAGATTAAACAATAATGTAATTTATACTATATTTTATTTTATATTTTATTACCTACTATATGTTATATCATAGTATATAGTATAACATATGTTATATGATATAATATATGTTATTATATACTATATAGTATAACATAGTATGTTATATTATAACAAATATAAACTACCCTATATTATAAACTACACTATATTATAACATATATAATATTATAACAAATATAACATATGTTATGTTATAACATATATGTTATTTTACTATATGTTATAACATAGATCATGTAAAGTATACTATATAATAGAATATAGTAACATAGTAATATACTACTATATGTTATTAAATTACTATTACATATTATAACATATATGTTATATAATAACATGGATGTTATAATCTAACATTTACGTTATAATATAACATAGGCTAAATTACAAAATATAGCCAATATCTTGTACGTGGTGACAATAATAACCACCTTCTTTACGAATTTGCAATAGTAGCCAACAATCCTTTAAATTTAGGGGTTATTACCCAAATTCGGCCAAATTTGTCGGCTAAATTGCAAAAGATAGCCAATATTCTCTTACATTGTGGCAATAGTAGCCATCGAATTTGGTCGCAGATGGGTAATAACCTCGAAATTTTAAAATTTATTGGCTACTATTGCCAATTCATAAAGATGATGGCTATTATTGCCACTGTGTACAAGATATTGGCTATATTTTGCAATTAAACCTATAACATATGCTGCATAATATATCATATGTTATACAATTGTATGAAATTGACTTCAATTGTATGAAATTGACTTCAATTGTACGAAATTTACTTCAATTGTACTGAGTTGACTTCAATTGTATGAAATTGACTTCAATTGTGCTGAGTTGACTTCAATTGTATGAAATTGACTTCAATTGTATGAAATTGACTTCAATTGTATTGAGTTGACTTCAATTGTATGAAATTGACTTCAATTGTATTGAGTTGACTTCAATTGTATGAAATTGACTTCAATTGTATGAAATTGACTTCAATTGTATGAAATTGACTTCAATTGTACTGAGTTGACTTCAATTGTACGAAATTGACTTCAATTGTATGAAATTGACTTCAATTGTACGAAATTGACTTCAATTGTATAAAATTGACTTCAACTGTATGAAATTGACTTCAATTGTACCGAATTGACTTCAATTGTACGAAATTGACTTCAATTATATGAAATTGACTTCAATTGTACTGAGTTGACTTCAATTGTATGAAATTGACTTCAATTGTATGAAATTGACTTCAATTGTACTAAGTTGACTTCAATTGTGTGAAATTGACTTCAATTGTACTGAGTTGACTTCAATTGTACGAAATTGACTTCAATTGTACGAAATTGACTTCAATTGTACTGAGTTGACTTCAGTTGTACGAAATTGACTTCAATTGTATGAAATTGACTTCAATTGTATGAAACTGACTTCAATTGTACTGAGTTGACTTCAATTGTACGAAATTGACTTCAATTGTATGAAATTGACTTCAATTGTATGATATTGACTTCAATTGTACTGAGTTGACTTCAATTGTACGAAATTGACTT